AACCTAGAAATCGTTGCGCTATATGTTTAGCGACGGAAGAAAATCGTCACCACGATCGTCGCAGTAGGCATGTCGCGCTTTATTTTAGGCGACGATTTGTTAAAATTTGTCGCTAAATCTAGCGACAAACTGAAAAAATTGTCGCCTATACCATTTTCATCGCTAAAACTATTTACCGGTGAAATATTAGTTGTCGTCGCCTAAAGTTAATAGCAATGTACTCTCTATTGTGTCGCCTACACTATACCGCGATGAGATGTGTGTTTGTGTTGCCTAACGTATACCGCGACGAAATGTGAATTTTTCTCGCCTATGATATACTGCGACGAAATGTGTATTTTTGTTGCATACAGTTAGTAGCAACGTCAAAATTGTGTGCGTCGCTTAAAGTATATAGCGACAAAATATGACATTTTGTTGCCTAACATGTAGTGCGATAAAATATGAGTTGTCGCCTAAAGTAATTAGGCTCCGTTTGGTTCACTTTTTTACACTTTTTAGAAAAGGTTTTGGAAAAAAGTTAAAAAAAGTTGAATTGGGCGGGTATTACGATGTAGGATTTAAAAATAAATAAAAATACCCTCTATATTTGTTTATTTACTAAACACCCCCTATGTTTGTTTATTTATTAAAAACCCCTATAATAAAACATTAAAAGTTAACAAAAACACCTCCAACCCATCCATTAAATATGGACAGCCGGCCACCACCGCCGGAGGGTGGTCGGAGTCATCGTATCGATGCATGACCGGCTGGATCTTGCCGGTCTTGCGCCGATATGGCCTTTTCCGGCCAGATCCACGGTGGATCTGGCCGGCAAAGGCCAGATCTATGGCCAGATTTGGCCGTATTTGCTCATCAACGATGACCATGTGTTGGCCGTTGTTGACGACTGACTACGGCCAAAGATCTGGCCTTTTCCGGCTAGATCCATTGTGGATATGGCCGGAAAAGGCTAGATCGGTGCACTACCGGCCAGATTCAGCTGGTAGTGCGCCATTATACCAGATTCCGGCCATTTTCCTGCGGTGGTGGCCGGAATCTGGTAAATATGGGTTGCTGGAGTTTTTTTGCAATTTCTAAAAAANCGTGTTCTACCTCTACCTCTCATCTACAAAACAACCACATTTAATCAATTCATGCCACACTTTAAGTAAGGAAATAATTTAACTTACAATAGTAGGCTACGGAACGTCGCGACGGTGAGAATGGCACACTGTCAAATCCCAAAATCTTTCCTTTGATACCAAAAATGTAATGACTTCTTTCTAAAACATACATAATTAGCATATGAAAATAGTTGGGCCCAAATTTTTCTTTACGTACAAAATATAATTCTTTACATATTTCAAAATAACAAGTACAAAAACTTAGCAACGGTGGACAGTAAAGCCAATTCTCTCCGCTTGTCGACGTCCTTCCGACCTCTGCTCACCTATTTCCTGCAAAAACATGAAAAAACAACGGGGTGAGCATAAAAATGCTCAGTAAGTAAATCCCTTAACTTTTCTTCTTCTTTGATTCTTTCCTTACTTAATTCTCTTCTTCTTTCTTTCTTTGTTTCTAATTCTCACTGTTCTTTTCTTTCTTTCTAATTCTCTCTATTTCTTTCTTTCTAATTCTCTCTATTTCTTTCTTTCTTACTCTTTCTATTCTTTCTCTTATTGCTACTCTTCTATTCTTTCTAACCATAATAAAATTCATGGCACTACAACAAAAAGGGCCTTTAGCTACGAATTTTTTCATTGCTAAAAACCTAGAAATCGTTGCGCTATATGTTTAGCGACGGAAGAAAATCGTCACCACGATCGTCGCAGTAGGCATGTCGCGCTTTATTTTAGGCGACGATTTGTTAAAATTTGTCGCTAAATCTAGCGACAAACTGAAAAAATTGTCGCCTATACCATTTTCATCGCTAAAACTATTTACCGGTGAAATATTAGTTGTCGTCGCCTAAAGTTAATAGCAATGTACTCTCTATTGTGTCGCCTACACTATACCGCGATGAGATGTGTGTTTGTGTTGCCTAACGTATACCGCGACGAAATGTGAATTTTTCTCGCCTATGATATACTGCGACGAAATGTGTATTTTTGTTGCATACAGTTAGTAGCAACGTCAAAATTGTGTGCGTCGCTTAAAGTATATAGCGACAAAATATGACATTTTGTTGCCTAACATGTAGTGCGATAAAATATGAGTTGTCGCCTAAAGTAATTAGGCTCCGTTTGGTTCACTTTTTTACACTTTTTAGAAAAGGTTTTGGAAAAAAGTTAAAAAAAGTTGAATTGGGCGGGTATTACGATGTAGGATTTAAAAATAAATAAAAATACCCTCTATATTTGTTTATTTACTAAACACCCCCTATGTTTGTTTATTTATTAAAAACCCCTATAATAAAACATTAAAAGTTAACAAAAACACCTCCAACCCATCCATTAAATATGGACAGCCGGCCACCACCGCCGGAGGGTGGTCGGAGTCATCGTATCGATGCATGACCGGCTGGATCTTGCCGGTCTTGCGCCGATATGGCCTTTTCCGGCCAGATCCACGGTGGATCTGGCCGGCAAAGGCCAGATCTATGGCCAGATTTGGCCGTATTTGCTCATCAACGATGACCATGTGTTGGCCGTTGTTGACGACTGACTACGGCCAAAGATCTGGCCTTTTCCGGCTAGATCCATTGTGGATATGGCCGGAAAAGGCTAGATCGGTGCACTACCGGCCAGATTCAGCTGGTAGTGCGCCATTATACCAGATTCCGGCCATTTTCCTGCGGTGGTGGCCGGAATCTGGTAAATATGGGTTGCTGGAGTTTTTTTGCAATTTCTAAAAAAATATTTAGGGGTATTTAATTAAATTAACAAATTTAGGGGGTTTAAAAAAGTTGAATAATATTGTGAGTTTTTACAATTTTATTGTTTAACTTTATTGGGAATACTAATAGTAGTATTCCCAAATGTAAGCCCCGAATCTGGTAAATATGGGTTGCTGGAGTTTTTTTGCAATTTCTAAAAAATTATTTAGGGGTATTTAATTAAATTAACAAATTTAGGAGGTTTATAAAAAGTTGAATAACATTGTGAGTTTTTACAATTTTATTGTTTAACTTTATTGGGAATACTAATAGTAGTATTCCCAAATGTGAGTCAAACGAAGCCTTAATATTTAATTTATCTGAGACATTTTAAAATTTAATTCTTAAACCGTAAATATTAATTTGTAAATGTAATTAATTGAAATCACACAAATATATCAAATCAAATATATTATAGAACTATACATGTTAGTTTTCAAATAAAAAGTTAAAAATATATAAAGTTGACTAAATTGTAATATTCAACAAAAAGTAACAATTGAAAACTCAAATTGTTGCAGGTGGTGGAGGATCTGGTGGAAATTGGCCCAAGAATGTCTGTGAGCCATCAGAAAACCGATATTAACTAAGATGAACTGCTGCATTTTCTCCATCATTTGCCTATATTGGCAAAATTCTTCCTTTTATGCCTCGTGGTTCTTGCATCTCCTCACGCAAGTGTGTGAATTCCTCTAAAACTTCTTGATTGGCTCGCCTTTAAGTCTTAGAAGATGTAGGTGGTTTTGGACCATAACCCAATCCACGATTTGTTCCTACAAAAATAATATATATGTTCATACACACAAATATATAAATTAAAATAATATAATTTTATAAAATAAAAAATTAAAAGGTATTAGAAAATGTAGGTGGTTTTGGACCATAACCCAATCCACGATTTGTTCCTACAAAAATAATATATATGTTCATACACACAAATATATAAATTAAAATAATATAATTTTATAAAATAAAAAATTAAAAGGTATTAGAAAATGTAGGTGGTTTTGGACCATAACCCAATCCACGATTTGTTTCTACAAAAATAATATATATGTTCATACACACAAATATATAAATTAAAATAATATAATTTTATAAAATAAAAAATTAAAAGGTATTAGAAAATGTAGGTGGTTTTGGACCATAACCCAATCCACGATTTGTTCCTACAAAAATAATATATATGTTCATACACACAAATATATAAATTAAAATAATATAATTTTATAAAATAAAAAATTAAAAGGTATTAGAAAATGTAGGTGGTTTTGGACCATAACCCAATCCACGATTTGTTCCTACAAAAATAATATATATGTTCATACACACAAATATATAAATTAAAATAATATAATTTTATAAAATAAAAAATTAAAAGGTATTAGAAAATGTAGGTGGTTTTGGACCATAACCCAATCCACGATTTGTTCCTACAAAAATAATATATATGTTCATACACACAAATATATAAATTAAAATAATATAATTTTATAAAATAAAAAATTAAAAGGTATTAGGTTATAATATAAATATAATATAAAAATATAACAAAATTTTATGCAAAAAAAATGAAATACACTACATAATACTTACATATTGAACCTTGGCTTCATTTATCCAAGTATTTCTTTTACTGCTAAAATGAGTGTCATAGAATAAATGCACCTCCCCTTAGAGCTGGCCTTAAGAAAGATCCTAATATTCGAAAAATAAACAAATAAAAGACAATTAATATTAAAAAAAAACAAATAAATAACAATTACAATATACACATTAAATAAAAAATTATTCAAAAATAAATATTTCAAACCTTTGAATTATTTGTTTGGTGAAAAATGATTATGGAAATAAACCCTACCCATAAGCTAATTAAGGTACTCAAGGACTAAAGGATCATTCAAATCAATCTCAAACTTTTTCTACTAAAAAAACAATATTCAATATATTAGTAATTAATAAAATTAAAAACAAGTTTACCAATAAGCGAGTCATAATCAACTTTTTATCATCAAGGTCAATCTTCTTGCTCCAAACAAATCTAAGAGTCAGTTTCTTTCACTAACACTAATCTAACAAAGAATCAATCACAAACAAATCTGAAAGATTAAAAANTTCTTACTTTCTTATACTTAGAAAATGTGAAAGTTATGGGTTGATGATTTTTGGAGGGTGAAGAATGGCGAGAGAGAAGATCAAGATCAAGAAGATTGATAACGTAACGGCCAGGCAAGTCACCTTCTCTAAGAGGAGGCGAGGTCTCTTTAAGAAAGCTGAAGAGCTTTCTGTTCTCTGTGACGCCGAGGTTGCTCTCATCATTTTCTCAGCTACTGGCAAGCTCTTTGAGTACTGCAGCGCCTCCAGGTATTTTCCAATTCCAATTTTTTTTTCTCCATATTAAAATTCCGTACGATAAATCTATAACTTTTCTTCTTGAACTCCACCTATTATTTCGGTCCTTTGTCTTCCCGTGTCTGCGTTTATGCGCTTTCGTCTCTTTGTCGTTGTGTTTGTCCGCGCGTGGGAGAGACTCCTTCAAGTTTTTACTCTTTCCCATTACGTTCGATCTTTCAAGCACCAAGAAATTTTTTTTACAGAAGGGAATAAAGCAACTTCTTTGCTGAAATTCCATGGTCGCTTTCAAAAAAACGTCGTACTTCGGTTCACACTCTCAGACTTGATTAATTCTATGGACTCTTTAGAGTTTATATTAATTAAGAGTGAAAATCCTCACGGCCACTTCCAAGATCTTTGTTATCTCTTCCATTGAATTGCATTTTTAGATTTTCTCGTCAACAGCAGTCTCGCGTCAGACCTTAAACTTTGATTTCTATGGTTGCTTGTTACAGCGGGTTCACAGACTTTGGCGGAGTCTCGATCCCGTTGTGGCTTGTGGGGTGACTTTTCTTGAAATATGAACAGATCGCATAAAATCAACGTCTCAAACATTTTCCTCATATTCTTAATTGACCTATTATTTTGTCATAAAATAACAAAACAAATACCAACATTATAACTTCATCTCTGTATTTGAGCTCAACTACTTTAAATATTCAACGAGTTCAACCATATGATGAATGTACGTACGCCTATATTTAATTATTTAATTGGTGTCAAGGTGAGAAATATAAATTTACATTATAACAATTATGTTATATGTCTTAAGTTAAATATATGAAGTAATTATTTTAGTTTATTTTTCAGGTCACGTTCTAGCTTAATTACATTCCTTATTACGTATCTATAATCTAGGATACTGTTATGGTAGTTAACAAAATAAATATTGTAAAAATATCATTGAGTCAATTGTATAAGTATAAATAGTTTTCGAAAGAACACAGGTTGAGTGAGGATGCATGGGGGATGGGTTAATAGTATTGTATATGTATAATATTTAATTGTTTGTTTGATAATAAGGTTTGAAGTTAAATAATATTGTTAATGATATGAACATATTAATACTTATCATTTCATCAGTAAAATTATAAATAATTTCTGGGTGCATGTTAGGTAGAGTTGTTATTTATTGTGTTTGTTTGTGTATGAAATGGATACAAGATTACAAGTAATCTATGTATGTTTGACAGCAACTTTCCAGACCTATATATTGATGGTTATGAAAATGCTGTTAATTTTTAATTTTTTTTTTAAAAAAAAAAAAATAAGAATTGATGGTTATCATTTCATGATTTAAAAATCTGCCAGTCCTTAGTGAAAAAAAAAATATCATAATTAGGTTAAATAACGAAATGTAAGATATGAAGCAGATCATTCTCATTAAAAAACTGAACAATAATGAATAGTGGTTGAAGCAGATGTTACAAGTTTTATTTTAATTAGCATTTTCTATCTTGATATGAAAGAAGAGGGGAGGAGTAAGTATCAATAGATTCAGTGAATTAAAGTTTTACTTTAACTTTGATATAGTTTTGTTCTAATATTTGAACATTATATTGTCTTGAGTATAACAAATTACGCTCTCATAATTCAGCGAGACTAGCTGGAAATAAAGATAGATTGGCAAAGAATTTTTACTTGTTGATATTCAAAGTTATGGTCGATGGTTAAGCATCTTATGGCAAGCATTAATATTCAAACTTATCATAATTAATGTTCATGAATGTGTCATAAGACCATAAATTTTTATCAAATTTAAAGCCTTTTGAGTTTTTGAGAATGTTGGTGTCGTCCTTATCATTCAAGGTTCCGCATGAAAAGTCCTCTTGTATTTTTGGGTTTCCATAGTGGCAGACAGCCATTTAACTTTCTTGGTTTCAAAGGCTAGCTGATTTGAATAATGACTCTTATCATTTCAATAAACATGATTAAGTTGGTCAGCAAAACCGAGCAGGCCAATAAAGTAATTAACCAAGCTAAAATCAAGCTAGATGTTGGTTTAATTAAGGTGAAAGACTCTAGTTGACCTTCTAAATTAAGCTCGATGTTAGTTCATTTAAGGTGAAAGAGTCTAGCTAAATGACCTTCTAATGAGACTTTTTTATGCAAGGGTTTGAAAATGTTTGGTTGAGTTTTGGGTTGTTTAGCTTGGACATGTATATAATATTTGTAAGTTTTCTAAGCTTGAACTTGAGTTGATCTCATAAGATATATATATATACATATATATATATTATTGAGCTTGAGTTGATCTCATAAGTTATATATATAGTATATATATATATATATATATATATATTATATATATATATATATAATATATATATCTATCTCTTCAATCGGATACCAATTGCTTGGATGCGTTTGAAAGCCTCAAGATGACATGCAAGAAAAAATTCTTTCTATGTTTGTCTTGTTGTCCGTACAAAGGTTCATTTTATGTGGGAAACGACGGGGATCGAACCCGTGCATGGTGGATTCACATTCCACTGCCTTGATCCACTTGGCTACATCCGCCCATATCCCTGCACAGGCTTCAGTCTCTATCTACGATCAAATCCTTTAAATACATAAATAAATAAATAAATGCGCGAATCTATGCTTCTATCTTTCTATTTCAATCGGATACCAATTGCTTGGATGCGTTTGAAAGCCTCAAGATGACATACAGAAAAAATTCTTTCTAGGTTTGTCTTGTGTCTTCGTAACAAAAGGTCCATTTATTGATTGGCGAACGACGGGGATCAAACCCGTGCATGGTGGATTCACAATCCACTACCTTGATCCACTTGGCTACATCCGCCCCTATCCCTGCACAGGTTTCAGTCTCTATCTACAATCAAATCCTATATATATATAAGCTTAATAATAAATTAAATTCTTCTTAAGTGCAAAAGCGAGTCAAGTTCTAATAATTATATATATTGAAGATTGATTGTAACCATGTAAAAATTGTTCAAAATTTATACTGATCTTACATTAGTCATCGATGAGTCTTATATGCATGAATGTGCTTGATTCTCAAGTGCAAAAGCGAGTCAAGTTCTAATAATTATATATGTTGAAGATTGATTGTAACCATGTAAAAATTGTTCAAAATTTAAACTGACCTTACATTAGTCATCGATGAGTCTTATATGCATGAATGTGCTCGATTCTGAACAAGTTGAATTAACTTTCTTTCAATTTAAGCCAAAATTTGTTTGTTTGATTGTAAGTATAAACAAGCTTTTGAGAACTTTCCTTGCATGTGGCCTTGTGAGGGTAAAATGTTGTGGACTTATGTTAGATTGAGTTTGGAGTGAATTCTGATATTACTTTTGAAGAATAGGGCTCCATGGCCTCAAACCAGATTCAATGGGAAATGTCTATTTGTAAGGAAAAATCATGTATATTGACACTTAATTGTAAAAGGTGCTAACATGATTAAGAACTTCTATGATACCATAGAGGTACTACGTCATCTGTATCACTAACCAATATTCTGTTGTTAAATAGTTTTTAAAATTAATAATTCAATCACATTTATGATGAAGATTGATGAGAGAGAATATTTTTAATAGGTGGTGTAAATACATTGGTTGGTTGTATAGATAACTTGGCACCCCTGTGGTATTCTTAATTTTTGTTTTTTGTGTGACTATAGTGAACCAGTAGTTCATTATGTTTCATGACAATATCACTTGTTTTTCCTATTTCTTATTGAGTAACCTGTTTATTAAGGTGATAGTTGTGAACATGATCATTCTTGAGCTGATATAGATGGGTTTTTGGGGAACATTTGTTATATAGTATATATGTGTATTCTTATAATTAATTTGATATTAATCTTATTTCTCAGAGCTGCACGGTTAAACTTCACCTAAATCTCAAACTTATTACTTTGTTGGAAGCATAATTATTGTTGATTGCTATAGAAATACATCAATTCTGAATTCTACCATGAATTTGGGGATCAATATATACATTTCTATAAATTCCTTTGAATTTGATTAACCATATGACATAAATTATCATATAAACTATTACCATGTCTTTATGTTTTCATGGTTAAGTCTCTTGATTGAAATGCATGTCTTAACTTCATATGTTGATTGATGAATAAGAAGTGGTTGCCTTGGCCATTTGATCTGAGCTGTAGTAGTAGATATAAGTATGAATAAATATATTTGCTTTAGCCAAGTTTTCTCCTAAACTGGGATCCTTCTTCATATGTGACTCCACCTCCCTTTGTGGCCTTTCAGTCAATACATCTGAATAACAGAAGCTCTTCTCTTCATCATGTCACGTTGTAAGGGTTTGTTGAAATTCTTCTTTATTCTATTCAGGCCAAAGTGGTTATATCATATTACATCCTTTGTTAATTGTTAGTAACAGAATCTCTAAGGCATGTTGACACTTTTTTACTCTAATTTTACTGTTTGTTCAGATTTTCATTCACTAGAACATAACATTGTGTTATAAAGTTGTTAAATTTAAGGTGAATGAACTTTGTTAGTTAAATAAATTGGATATGACTTTTCATCTCTTGTAAGTTTTCAAATGGCTAGGTTTTCTTGATTTTCACTTAAATTATCAGTCAATATATCAGTTGAATGGTTGTATTATGTTATAACTAATTGCAAATGCTTAAAAATATGGGGTGGATGATGGATGATTGGATGTAATGACAGATAACAAACATGTCATTTGGTGAATAGATAGTTCAGTTAGATTAAAAATCATTATAAGTTTATATAGATCATATATATGATGAATAGGGTTTGATGCCTTCCCGGCTGATGGGATCTTTATTCTAGCAATTAATTTAAACTCCACTTGCCATATATGTTAAGTTACAGTATAGTTTCAAACAGTTCAATGTGCTTTAACTAGTCCTATACATGGCAAATTTTGCTATGAGTTCTGACCTGTCTAACATATTTAGTTTATACATTTCGTTGTGAAGCATGAAGGACACAATTTCAAGGTATAATCTGCATTCTAACAACATCGGAAAGCTTGACCAACTATCGCTTGAACTGCAGGTAATTTATTTGATCAGTTTTGTTAGTTATCATAGCATAACTATGATTGCGATATAAGTTTTAAGAGTTTAAAGGAAAATGACATAGGCATGCCATTAGAATTTCTGAGATGAATTTTCCAAAAGGCTTGGGGTTCACTAATATAACTTTTTAATTAAGCATATTTTTAACTAGTTGAGTATTCAAAAACTGCAATGGAAGAGATTTCCAACTCACTTGCATTGGCTAACTTGGCATCACATATATAAATTTCTTTTTCCCAGTAATTGTCAATCGTTACATATCAGAACTGACTGGCAATTCTATTCTTATATAGCTGGAAAATAGCAACAACATCAGATTGAGCAAGGAAGTTGCTGATAAGAGCCATGAACTACGGTAAATATTTTAATGTAGTTATATTGTCTTTTTACTTTGGTAAATTAGCAAAAATTCCTTTATTATTAATATAACCTTTTATAATAGGCAAATGCGAGGAGAAGATCTTAAAGGATTGAATATAGAGGAATTACAACAACTCGAAAAATTGCTTGAATCAGGACTTGGGCGTGTTCTTGAAACAAAGGTATGTATTTTTTTAAATTTTATTGCAAACTATGTATATATATCTACCATGATTCAAGTAGGTGTTTATATGAGTTTTATTTTCCTTATCAGAGTGAACTGATTATGAACGAGATCTCTTCACTTGAAACAAAGGTTAGAAGACAAATATTTATTTCTATATTTTTTTTCTTTTGGAAAATTTAAATTACTAATCTATGCCTTTTGTTCATGATCTTTCTTACTAATTTAAAGTTAGCAGTCACTGTTTGTGGTAGAAGCAATAGTGTACTAGAAGGATGACAAACAAGTTTCTCCATGAGGATATATTAAATTGAGATCTTCTCAAAGTCAGAGAGGAGATATTCATGGAAATATGAAATTAATGTTTATCTATATTACATGAATCAACTAAATTATGTGGACTTTCACTTTTGAGTGTTTTTATTTTTTATATATTTAATGACTTTAATTTTTTGGCATCAAAATTTTCCACTAAAGATTTTTTTTTTTATAATATTAGCAATTTTCAAATGTACATGCAAATTTTCAGTTTGCATTATAATTTTAAGGACACAGTCATGAGCTATAGCTTAAGTTCTTTAATTTCCATCTAATGGTNATGAATAAGAAGTGGTTGCCTTGGCCATTTGATCTGAGCTGTAGTAGTAGATATAAGTATGAATAAATATATTTGCTTTAGCCAAGTTTTCTCCTAAACTGGGATCCTTCTTCATATGTGACTCCACCTCCCTTTGTGGCCTTTCAGTCAATACATCTGAATAACAGAAGCTCTTCTCTTCATCATGTCACGTTGTAAGGGTTTGTTGAAATTCTTCTTTATTCTGTGCAGGCCAAAGTGGTTATATCATATTACATCCTTTGTTAATTGTTAGTAACAGAATCTCTAAGGCATGTTGACACTTTTTTACTCTAATTTTACTGTTTGTTCAGATTTTCATTCACTAGAACATAACATTGTGTTATAAAGTTGTTAAATTTAAGGTGAATGAACTTTGTTAGTTAAATAAATTGGATATGACTTTTCATCTCTTGTAAGTTTTCAAATGGCTAGGTTTTCTTGATTTTCACTTAAATTATCAGTCAATATATCAGTTGAATGGTTGTATTATGTTATAACTAATTGCAAATGCTTAAAAATATGGGGTGGATGATGGATGATTGGATGTAATGACAGATAACAAACATGTCATTTGGTGAATAGATAGTTCAGTTAGATTAAAAATCATTATAAGTTTATATAGATCATATATATGATGAATAGGGTTTGATGCCTTCCCGGCTGATGGGATCTTTATTCTAGCAATTAATTTAAACTCCACTTGCCATATATGTTAAGTTACAGTATAGTTTCAAACAGTTCAATGTGCTTTAACTAGTCCTATACATGGCAAATTTTGCTATGAGTTCTGACCTGTCTAACATATTTAGTTTATACATTTCGTTGTGAAGCATGAAGGACACAATTTCAAGGTATAATCTGCATTCTAACAACATCGGAAAGCTTGACCAACTATCGCTTGAACTGCAGGTAATTTATTTGATCAGTTTTGTTAGTTATCATAGCATAACTATGATTGCGATATAAGTTTTAAGAGTTTAAAGGAAAATGACATAGGCATGCCATTAGAATTTCTGAGATGAATTTTCCAAAAGGCTTGGGGTTCACTAATATAACTTTTTAATTAAGCATATTTTTAACTAGTTGAGTATTCAAAAACTGCAATGGAAGAGATTTCCAACTCACTTGCATTGGCTAACTTGGCATCACATATATAAATTTCTTTTTCCCAGTAATTGTCAATCGTTACATATCAGAACTGACTGGCAATTCTATTCTTATATAGCTGGAAAATAGCAACAACATCAGATTGAGCAAGGAAGTTGCTGATAAGAGCCATGAACTACGGTAAATATTTTAATGTAGTTATATTGTCTTTTTACTTTGGTAAATTAGCAAAAATTCCTTTATTATTAATATAACCTTTTATAATAGGCAAATGCGAGGAGAAGATCTTAAAGGATTGAATATAGAGGAATTACAACAACTCGAAAAATTGCTTGAATCAGGACTTGGGCGTGTTCTTGAAACAAAGGTATGTATTTTTTTAAATTTTATTGCAAACTATGTATATATATCTACCATGATTCAAGTAGGTGTTTATATGAGTTTTATTTTCCTTATCAGAGTGAACTGATTATGAACGAGATCTCTTCACTTGAAACAAAGGTTAGAAGACAAATATTTATTTCTATATTTTTTTTCTTTTGGAAAATTTAAATTACTAATCTATGCCTTTTGTTCATGATCTTTCTTACTAATTTAAAGTTAGCAGTCACTGTTTGTGGTAGAAGCAATAGTGTACTAGAAGGATGACAAACAAGTTTCTCCATGAGGATATATTAAATTGAGATCTTCTCAAAGTCAGAGAGGAGATATTCATGGAAATATGAAACTAATGTTTATCTATAATACATGAATCAACTAAAGTATGTGGACTTTCACTCTTGAGAGTTTTTATTTTTTATATATATAATGACTTTAATTTTTTGGCATCAAAATTTTCCACGAAAGATTTTTCTGTTTATAATATTAGCAATTTTCAAATGTACATGCAAATTTTCAGTTTGCATTATAATTTTAAGGACACAGTCATGAGCTATAGCTTAAGTTCTTTAATTTCCATCTAATGGTTTGCAATACTTTATATATATATATCAAGGCTCTTTGGTTGAAGACCTCTCCAGTTTGCTTTTGATTATTAAGATACCATAAGTCAAGAGTTCTATCTTGAGTTTTCAACTTGGTACTATTTGCAGGGAGCACAACTATTGGAGGACAATAGACAGCTAAAACAGAAGGTATACGAATTCATTTTGGTGGACTGTTATAATAATTTTATTTATTTCATTTTATTTGAAAATGGCGAGAGATCTTTCAAATTTGGAACAGGTGTCCAACTTGTATAAGGGAAAAAGCCTCGTCCTAGCTGATTCAGAAATCGCAATTCAGGAAGAAGGGTTGTCATCAGAATCTGCTACTAATATTTGCAGCTGCAGCAGCGGCCCGCCTATAGAGGATGACAGTTCTGATACTTCTCTCAAATTAGGGTGAGCTTAATTATCAGTATAGGGTCATGCATATGTAAATGAATCTTATCTCCCAATTCAATAGTTTAAGCTTATCACAATGTTTCTGCATTTTGATAAAAGAGATGAGAGTGAGAAAGCAACCTTATATTGATACAATAATTAATGCGAAGTCAACATGCAAGGGTACTGCTGGACATTTTTAATTTTCTTTTGATCAATTTTGCTTCTTCGACTATTCTGTAGGCTTCCCTTCTCTTGCTGAATTTGAGAAGACAAGTGGATTCTCGCAATAAATAAAGCTGGACCAATGTCATCTTGAAAAGTTGTGATTTATTATGTAGTAGTAGTACTGTAAAAACGATTGACCTTCTTGTGGATTCTTCTATCTCATCTTGGCTGGTGGTGGGTGCCGGTGCCACTGCCATATGTGTGATGGTGTATGTTTGCATATAAGTAATTATGATTGGCATACTCAAGGCCTAAGACAGGAGAAAGGTATTTAAGAGTATTGCAAACCTTCAATAAAGAAATATCGTGTTATAAATTTACTTTGTTTTCATAATACTTCAGAGTTCATGGGCAGCCATATCATAGGTTTCTTATTTATTATTACAGGATGGCAAAACTTTGATGCGTAAACCTAGCTAAGCGAAAGAACTTTTTTTCTCTCTCAATTATTTTGTTTCAGTGAAATATTGTTGAAAAAATAAATTCTATAATTGGGTTTATTTTTTAAGCTTGTTTATCTTTTACTTTCTTTGACTCATTTACATTTGAAAATTGAAACATAGAGAGGGGACATATTGTTGGAGTAGGTATCTTGGAGTCAATCAATTATTATAGAATTGACTCTTTGTAATAACGTATATTAATCAATAAAATACGTTTTTTATTATATCATGTAAATTATAATTGATGTATTAATATATATCCTTAGGATGGTAGAATCATGACGAGGGTATCAAGTGTTTCAAATCTTGATAGTGAGAACCCTATAATTACATATGATGACCATTTTAGAAATACTTGTAGTTCTAGTATTATTCTGACCAAAGACACAGATAATGCGGTAAGATTATCATAGAGTTGAATGACCCTGTTGAAAAGAGTGATTGATCTTACCTGTCAAGGTTGTTTATTGATAATCTAGTATAACACATGGGTGCTTGTTGTAGGCAAATTCACTAGACAAACTCACTAGAGGATTCCATATAGAAAGTAACCCTAGTGTCTATGGAACAAATCCTCTAACGAATTATGGTGCATATGATCCTTAGACTTGAGATCACCGGAGTGCCTTGTATACCGATTAGTGTAGTTTGACACTAGCCTAACATATTTCTATTTCAAGTTATCAATACGGTAGTGATTGGTTACATCGAGGAGTGTATCAAGATTATGGTGGATCAATAGATGATTCATCACTCCCTAGTATAGAAGAAGTTATTTCACGGCGTAATTCAGTGAATGACAATGGTACTAAAGCTATGGTCACAGTGGGATTGAGTTGTTGCTCAATCTAATTTATTATTCCGATCATTGGTCCAGTAACTGAATATAAAGACATCGAGAATAACTGAGGTTGACACTATTTATGTATCTCAGCCTCGATGAGATAACAGATGATGAAGGATTTGATTGTACGGTAACCATATCGTTGATAGGTAGCCGTTTTGCTGAATCCGAATCTATCGAGTGGCCATGATGTTTTGCTAGGGGTCAATCTTGATTTGTGTGTAGTGAAACGATTGATTGGTGTCAATCGCGATACTATTCACTGCCGATATGATAATGAGCCTACGAGTTACGCACTTAAAAAACAGTTTAAGGATGGTAATTTTGGAAGGATATATTTGTCTTTTAGACGAATGAACATATTGGTAATTTTGCTGTGTAATTAAATTTACTCAGGTTTTAGCCTATGTCCAATTTTATTATTAGAGTAATTTAGCAAAATTACAAATTTAATTATTAGAGTTAATATTAATATTTAAGTGAATAATTAAATAGAGACTAATTTTTTTATTCCACATAAGTTTTGATTGTTGCTAAACTTTGGAGGTGGAATGGAAATTTGCCTCATTATATAAATGAAGCAAAGACATGGGAAAGCTTTTTGAGAAGAGAAAAATTCTTTTCTCTTCTGTACACCCATTCTTCCAATCACTTGACTCCTTAAAGCCAAGAATTAATTCTAGCAAAATTAATTCTTGGTTATTGGTGTACTGTCTTCGTGTGGACGATGTGAGTTCGATTTCATTCTTAAATCGGTAGCGAGATTGCATTCAAAGAAATTGACGAAGCCTCCAATCACTGGTATGATCTAATCATTGTATAGTTCTACATTGTTTCAATATATATATATATATATATATATATATATCAGACCTTGATCTTGGCGAAATTAGAGTAATCGATGGGCAAAATTTTTTTGTTTTTCCGCTGCCTTTGTTCATCGATTTACTATAATCATTCACTTGTTACTATATTTTTTAATGGATAATAATTAAACTAATAATAACCATTAAAATAAAAGAAGTTTTATTATGGTTTTTCAGTACCCTCTCTAAACTTGTTCTGTGACATCGAGCCAATTTTTCATCCGTGCAAAGTTCTTGTACTTATGTGGCTTGGTAAAAATATCGGTAATTTAATCTTGTGTTTCCACATACTCCACTCATATTTATTTTCTTTCAATAGAGTCTCTTCTGCAGTGATAGCGAGTATCTATGTGCTTACTTCAGTCATGAAAGACTAGATTCTTTGCTAAAGCAATCGCAAACTTGTTGTCAACATAAATGGTTGTTGGCTCTTCTTGTGATATATTCAACTCATTTAGTAAGTTTCACAGCCAAATTGCATGCAATTGCATGAGGTGGCAGCAACATACTCGGCTTCACAGGAAAAAACATGACAATTGGTTATTTCTTTGACATCCAAATAAAAACATTGTTTCCCATGAAAAATATGAATCCAATGGTACTCTTTCTATCATCAATGTCTTCAACTCAATCGTTATCACTATATCCAAGGAGTTTGTATTCATTTGAAAATGAATAGAACAATCCAAAGTTGATTGTACTTTTAAGGTAACGAACGATTCTCTTTGTAACCTTGAAAATGAGTTGTTGTTGGGATTTCCATATAGTGACTAAACTAACCTAACAACATATAGAATGTTAGGTCTGATACACGTCAAATAGCGCAAGCTTCCAACTAGGCTCTTGAAGAGAGTTAGATCTACTTTTTCTCTTTCATCATGCTTGAATAGTTTGAACTCCACACTCTATCGTTGTGCTTATAGGATTGCAATCATGCATCTTAAATTTCTTAAGGATCTCCTTTGTGTAGCATTAATGAGAGATGAAGACGTCATATCCCCTTTGCTTCGATGCCAAGATAGTATGGCATGAGCCCAATATCAGTCAAAAAATTTTGGACATTGCTTTCTTGAATTCTTTAAACAAGCTTGAGCTGCTTCCGATAAAGATCAAATCATCCACATACAAGCACATGATCAAAACATCTCCGCTCTTGACCTTAACATAAAGAGCTTGCTTATAAGGATATTTGGTAAAACCGTTCTCTTGAAAGAACCTACCAATAGGACTATTCCATGCCCAAGGTGTTTGTTTCTATCCACATAGAGCTTTGTTCAACTTCAAAACCTTGTGTTCTTGCCTTTTCATTTCATGGTCCAACAATTGTTCAATGTATACTTCTTCTTCAAGTACTCCAATATGGAAAATAAACTTTCCATCTATCTGATGAATCTTCCACTTATTTTGAGTTGCCAAAGAAATGAGTAATTGTATAGTTTCTAAGCGAGCAATGTGAACAAATACCTCATCATAGTCAATGCCAGTTCTTATCATTTTGCTGCGAGCCTCACTTTGTATCTTTAAATCTCTCCTTTCGCATTTTTCTTTGTTTTGTAAACCTATTTAACCCCTATTGTCTATTATCATTTAAGAAGTGAAGCAAGTTCTTATGTGTAAATCGTCACAGTTGCTTTGATTTCTTCATCCATTACACCTTCCCACTTCTTGATTTGGAAATTCACAGGTTCACAATCGACAAAGAGACATAAAAAAGTGATGTTTTCTTACTGTTCAGTTAGTTCATAAAGATCTCACAAGCTTCTAGTGGATTGCACAACCATTTCATTCTAACTCCACGATGATGATAATGATGATGAGTGTGAACTTATTGCAGGTGAAGTTGATGAGGTGGCCAACTTGACAGGCTATTCGCAAGTGTACGAAATCGTGCAAGTAATAAAACTCGAGTAAACGAGTGTTGAATCCCAAGAAAACTACCTACCAAGTACCAAACTAGTATATTTTATTGTTATTTAATGAAACAGAATTTTAAGAATGAATTAATGAAAAATAAAACAAACTAAAAAGTAAACAAATGTAGAATTGTATTAATACTCTGGTAAAAAGATCATTAAAACTAAACCTAGGGCATAGATTTCACATCAATTTAATTCTATGCATTGACAATTATTGCTAACCTAATTAAGCTTATTCTAAAGGCCCAACTCCCCAATTTCACTAACTTTTTCTCGAAAAATTAGCGAATTAACCCTTAAGCAACAATCCAAAATATCTGTAAAGTAGATTTAGAAGCTAAGAGAATATTAAGTCCTATAGAATTTACAAGAGCTTCATAGATCGCGGTAACCTATCTCTAGCGTTCGCTCAAATGGTTTTATTACCTTAGACTAATTAGGTTTCATCTCTCGATATCAACCCAACTCATAAAATCATTCAACTCTCGGGCCCTTAAGAATTGAAAGCATTACACACAATAATAAAACTTAGAATTAATGCTCAATTAAAACTAACAACAATAAAGTCAATACATATTCATAAATTAGGCTACATCTTTAGCCCTAGAAAAGAAGTTTAGTTCATAATTGCAGTAATAAAAACAACTATTATATTAACAAACATGAGTTCAAGAAAAAAAAATAGAAAAACTTCTCTAATTGGTGAATAAAAACTGCAAGAACTC